GATATCTCAAATACCGTTGGTGATCTTACCTCATTTTGCTTGGTATCCATCTCCATTCCCATTCATATCCCTTGAAGCAATCCGGGACTTTAGCGGTTAGAACCACCAACCACATAGATTTTGAATAGATTATGACCAACTTGACAAAACACCCCAAGTGACTCAGTTTTTTCCAAGGTGCATTTTTTGTTCAAAAAATAACCATCTGTTAAACTTGTTGGCGCAATTCCCGGAATCCCCCGAAAAAGAGTCACGTTTCTATCATCCTTCCAGAGTTATAACATGTTATATCTGGTTATTCAACGTATGGGTACCAAATGATTAGATGATATGGGTCATGCTGGGTCAACGTTGATTAATATTTGGGTACCTGTAAGTTTGACTGTGGATCCGAGGATTTATAGGGTGCCACCAGTTTTTTCCATATATTAAAACCGCTAAAAGTTTACCAGAAAACACATGACAAAAGCAATGACAAACATTGGTTTTACCAGAAAATATGATATTACTTTGTTATATACTTATATACTTCATTTTTGAACAGACCATGACAAACCATATGTTCATATATGCTCTACTATCTCTCGATAATATTCCCCCGAAAGTGGTTGGCATCGTTCTCCCCTAGTTACTTTGTTGGTAAACAAAAACTTCATTTTTAGACAAATCCATATGCATACCATTAATCACAGATATTCTCATATTTAGTGCTTAAAACATGTTGCAATCCGTATATTTCATGATTAAACCCCGCTATTTGAACAGCAATCAACCGTATTGTTGGTCATTTCCCAATGGTTTTCCCATATATACATCTATACATGGGACGTATGTATATATATATATATGTATATTATATGTTAGATACAGTATACAACGGTGATTGTCACATCTTTCCCCCTTTCTTTGTGGACGGCCTCAATTATTAGGCCAGTCTTGCGCAAGTTGGTCACGCAGGGCCGTGCTGAGTCCTTTCGTTTGGCAGTGCCCACGGAGTCCAATGGACGAGTCGCTGGGGCTTCGTTCAAATTGGAGCCCTTGAGATCTCAGGGTTAACGCTTACCCAACCTGGCTATGACTAACAGTTCGCCATGGTATAGATGGCCCATAGAAATAGATGGTTTACCTATAAAAAATGGTGATTTTCCATGGCTATGTTAAATAGCCAGATGATACCAGATGGTATAAAAGTTCATGTGGGTAAAACAATGTATAAACCACCCATGACTGGGAATGGTTACCATTTGATACCAACTATTTATGGTGATTTGCGGGATGGTTTATTCATGTTTTACCCACATTTTGTAACGCTTATTTCAGACATGCCATTTTGGGAGGATACCCAATGTTTAAGACGCAGACAATTCCGGAAGATTTTGGCCGAACTGAGGGATTTCACCAGCCATTCCCAGCACATGAGGAGTTCATCACTGAAAATGGTTAGTCTCCTGTTGATTCTTTAAGGTCAAATACATGTTGTCTATTTTTGGTGGTCACCTCAGTCATCAGAAAAAAAAAACAAAGGCAGAATGCAAAGTGTCAAAGATTAGTTCAATGATATTCTCATTATACCAGCATTTCTGTTGCTTAAATCTCCCTTTTTTGATGCTGACAGACCACCAGGATGTCATTACAACATACAACAAAGTATCATTTTAACCATGACACCATTACATATAACCGATAACCATACATAAACGATGTCTGATGCTTATTTGATTGTGAAAAATCAACACCAAAAGAACCAATTCTCCAGAGAGAATCCCATGAAACCACCGTGATTAAAATATATCCCCGTAATTATATATACATAGATATATTCATATATATATATCCGGATATTTTTTATGCTTCAATCATCATTCAATTTCAAGCCACCATTTTTATAAATGACATCATCATATCTTTGATTTAATTGAACCCCGTGTTTAAGCCAATGGTTACCCTTGGGTAAAGGAACATAGATGTGGAATATCAACAGTAGACGGTTTTCCGTTTCTTGCTGGAAAACTAAATGTTTACCCTAGGGTAAATCCCATTGAAAGATATTGATGGGTTTTCCAGATCTATGTAACTGTTTACCCTAGGGATCTATAGGGTAAATCCCATTGAAAGCAGCTTAAATCCCATCGCTTGCCGCGACGCTCAGGAAGCTGTCTACGCCTACCTGGACGAAGCATCTGAGCTGAAGTCGCTGGCGGTGAACGATCGCGCCAGCGCCATCGCAGAAGCCTGTGGCTTCGCGGGCTGCAGATTGCGCGGGGATATCTACATAGGCGCCGTGGACTGTGATGTTTTTTGGATAAGGCAAGTGAGTTGGAGACTTTTCGTATTGAGCTGCTTTTGCTATCAGTTGGGATAATATACCCTCATATAATTCAACACGGCAATGGAACATATCCTACGTCGTACGTGGTAAACAGCATCCCATTGGTGGCAGCAGTCACATTGCGCTATGGCGCAAGCTGGAAAATCCCTCATGGCGCCACAGGGATTTCTCCATGTTTGCGAACGGCAGGGAATCACTCATTCTCATTTTGGTAAAACTAGGGTAATCTTGGGATTATCTTGGGTATATGTACATATGGCTGGGTTATCATATATGGTATTCTTCCCACTTGCTGGGACGCCCTAAGATGGGTCACCATGTAGTGCCTTTTTTCCTCCTGGGTTGGTCGAACATGCCAGCGATTGTTAGCTGGTGCGGTGGTGGAACCCCTTGACTCAAGGGGTTAGGAGCAGTTGGGAGGATTGGAACTACCATCTGGTTATTTAACATAGCCACATAGCCATGGAAAATCCCCAAAATAAATGGAGGTCTTAATATGGGAAAATCATCTCTTTCTATGGGCCATCTATACCATGGCGAACTGTTAGTCATAACCAGGACGGGTAGATGAAACTTGAAAAATCACCCAGTGATCTACAGCCAATGGGACCTTCCCAGCCTGGCTGGGACATGGATAGACTGGATCCCTGGTGACCAGCGCGAACCAATGGACGGGTCAGGAGTTTTCCGGATCGCCAGTTGAGTGTCCTGGTAGCGAAGTAACCAAAAAGCTGGTTCCACGTATCAACTCCTCCCAAGAAATAGTGGTAAGAATATGTAAGAATATGGTAATTAGAATTGATCATTTTCACCAATATATATATATATATATTTAGATGTTACTAACCAACCATATTTTACAATCTGGGTTTCCCATCGATCCTGGCTAGGCCGTCTACGATGGCTCCCGGGTGGCCTAGTGGAGAACATTGACTTCCGACTGGCTGATGTAGCAGTGGGCTCCTTCTGGATGAGACCCGGTGGTTGTTGTTCGTATTTTTTTGTTTGATCCTCCGGTTTAGGAAGATCTATAGGGATATATCTAGGCATATATCATGGAATGGGATATATCATACATCTAGGATGAACAATACATAACAATACCCTGTTATTTGACATAGCTATGGAACATAGGCCATTTATAGATGATCTATGATGGTTTACTGATTAAAAATGGCAATTTTCCATAGCTACGTCAAATAACCAGAGGGTAATGGTTAGAACAAAGAAGATCCAGGGATGTATCTGGTTGGGGAGAATCAAGGATTAATAGTGGTGAATAGGGGATTAATTGGACAATGTGGGAAATCTAACATTGAGAGTTTGATATGGGACATCGACATGCACCATTTGTATAGACCATGCCGTATCTACAACCCCGTAGATCTGTAACTCCAAAAATTCTACACTTGGACATGGCCATAAAAATTGGTTCCATGTTAAATTTAAAGGGTGTAGATACGGAAATCCGAGGGAATTCCGGAATTCCTTTTGACTTAATCTATAAATGGTGGATTTTCTAATACTTGTATGGCAAGTTGCTGGAGGGCAATGCCGAAACATTTTCAACATTCAACACGTGTTTCCTTGGGTTTCATCTTATTTTTGTTGACCCAGTGGTAATCAGACATGGCACTGTCATGTTGTTTTAGTGGCAAACCACTCAATAAACTGGTGTAAATATGAACTTGAAGCATCAGGTCATGAAACATGGTTCACAACATGTTTCTTTTTCTGCGGCTTTTTCTACATGTTTGAGGGATGTGTTCCTTTGCTACACATTCTATTGGATTCAATCCATCGGTGGGAGGGGGAAACCCCCTCGGTGTTACACATGGCCACAACGAAAAAAACCTCGTAACATTTCGTCTTCCAAAGTCGTAAAGTTAGAAGTCTGAAATTGCAGGTAATGTGGTTAAAACAATCATAAACTACCCATGACTGGGAATGGTTCATACCACCTATGGTGATTTGGGGGATGGTTTATTAATGTTTTAAGCACATGTTGACTACATGATTAATGTTTAACCACATTATTAATGTTTATTAATGGTGATCAACCAGTGATTTGCGCAGGAACGGCACCCCTGGGAATCCCAGAACTCTTCGTCATGACTTGTCATCCGATCTCCTGATGGCAGATGTTCAAACGTTGGGACATAGCATTATGACCCCAGCAGCACAGAGAATATAGGGTTTCATTATGTTTCATAGTTTTTTTAAAAACAAAACCAGAGCAAACCAAAAAAAACACACCAGAAAACACAAATCAAGGAAACAACAAAAACAAAACAAGAAAAAAAACTAAAAGAACATAACATGCCAACAAGAAAAAGCAAGAAAAAAACAGAAAAAAACTAAGGAAAATGCAGGTTTTGCTTTTTATTTTTGTTTTTTGTTTTGTTTTTGTTTTTTCTTGTTCTTTTTTATTCTGATGACTCTTCCCGTCGAGTTGTTTTTTTGGTGATTCTGTTTTTGATTGTGTTTTTTATTTTTATTTTGCCAAAAATCCACTTTCTCTGTTCTACACGGGGTCATAAATATAGCAGCAGACCAACGATTGTATTTGATAGCTGATTAGAGGTTTATTACACATATTGCATAATATTGCATATAGATCATCTACATTATAGAATATGATTATGTTAGTTAGTCTGGACCCCCCCTTAAT